TCCCCCCCAACCTCTTCAGGTTTTTTTATGTCTTTGAACTTTTACCCATGGCTCACCCCCCCACGTTCTGTCACTCCCCCCACCAGGTATTGGCTTTGGCGGGCTGTGGAGGTTTGCCGGAACCTTCTCCAAGTCGACGGGCAGTTCGGACACGGCGGAGCTCTTCGTCAACTGCCTGGAGAAAGCCATGATGGTCGAGTCGTGTCTGCCGGGGGACGACCTTGACATTCTGAACCCGTACCCGAGCAGTCTGGGCATCTGCAGCAACCTGAACTTGTCGAGCTCCATGTCGAATCTGAGCGTGGGCTCCGTGCACTCGCCAACGGATAAAGACTCGCTAGACAAGGCCGGGGCCAACGGAGGTCGCACGCGCCACAGTTCGGCCACTCTGGCGGGCTCCAAGCCACGCGGCGGGAGCTTCAAGCAGAAGGAGAAGAAGAAGATTATCGACGTGGACTGAGACCCGCGGGGCGGGATGGTGCTAGCGATTGACGACGGAGGCGGTGATGGTGGGACGACCGGTGAATGAACGGTGGGATGCCGATGACAGCGGGGACTGTCTGTCGCGTGCGTGCGTACGTGCACACGCACACGTGTACGAATACATACACACTACACGTGCATCGGACACGTGTGCATGGCTTGGCTGGGCTGGGCTGGGCTAGGCGTGTCGTGCGCTGGGTGTGTGCGTGTGTGTTTGTGTGCGCATGTGTATGTGTGTGTCCTGGGTCCGGCGAGACTTTTTCTGTCCTGATGCCTGACTGACTTGGCATTTTGTCGACCCGGGCAGGTGCCGCAAACTTTCTGTGATGCGTCGGGTCAAGGTCAGAGGGACCTGTTGTCCAGCCCCCCATGGGTGTTGGAGCCTCGGGGCTTCGATGAAGTCATTGCAGTCGAGATGCGACGAGACGAGACGAGACGAGCGTTGTTGTTATCATTCCGTGGTGATGTGGAGGAGGGCTGGACTTGGATGGAGGATGATGTCCTCTCTGACAGCTTGTGGGGGAGGGCTGGGGTGGGAGGGAGGAGGGGGAGAGGGATCTGAGGAGGGTGAGGGGTGGATTACTAGGTTACTAGTCTTTTCTGTGAGGGTGTGTGTGTGTGCTCATGTGTGGGTGTGTGTGTGACCTGAATCAGTTGTGCTGGGCAGTGTGTTGACTGAGACTGAGGGAGGGGAGGCCAGTAGTGGTGGACGATGTGAACTTGGGGAAGTGTGAGCCGTCCTAGGACTGCTGTGTGCTACAGAGGCTGCTGCTGGCCTTTTGTTCTGACACGCTGTGTGCTACAGAGGCTGGTGGATGTGTCATCTGACTGACATGCTGTGTGCTACAGAGGCTGGTGGCTGTGTCGTCTGACACGCTGTGTTCTACAGAGACATCTTCTGACCAGTGTGTGCTACAGAGGTTGCTGTTGGCTGTGTGTTGTAACCACTGTGTGTTCTACAGAGGCTGGTGGCTGTGTCGTCTGACACGCTGCGTTCTACCTAGACGTCTTCTGACCAGTGTGTGCTACAGAGGTTGCTGCTGGCTGTGTGTTCTGACACAGCGTGTGCTACAGAGCCATTCTGACAGGCCACAGAGGCGGGTGGCTGTGTCGTCTGACACGGTGTGTGCTACAGAGGCGGGTGGCTGTGTCGTCTGACACGGCGTGTGCTACAGAGGCTGGTGGCTGTGTTGTCTGCTGACTGCTGTGTGCTATCTCCTCTTTGTCTGGCCTGGAACTCGGAACTTGTTACTTCTGCCTCTCCTCCTCCTCCTCCTCCTCCTCCTCCTCTATCCTCCTCCTCTCTTCTCTCTTCCTCCCTTTCCATCTCTCTCTTACTCCCTCTCTTCTCTCTTCCTCCCCTCCTCCTCTCTTCTCTGCTCCTCTCTCTCTTATACCCTCACTGCCTTTTCTCCACTCTTTCTTTTCTGCTTCCATCTCTTCTTTATCCCTCCCTCTCCCTTCTGTACCTCTCTCTCGTAACTCCTTTCCCCTCTTTCCTTTTCTTTCTTGTTTTGCCCCGTGGATTTGAGTGGACTGCCAGCTGATTCAGGACTTTTGCTTGACTGTCTTAGTTTCTCTGTCTCTCTGTCACTATGTCTCTCTCTGTCTCTCTGTTTCTGTCTGTCTGTCTGTCTGTCTGTCTGCTCTCTCTCTCTCTCTTTCTCTCTCTCTCTCTCT